GAATTCCTTTTCCAAGTTAAGATAGAGATATTGGATTATTCATTTTGTTTTGCAGCATTGACTGGCCTGTTCCATTGTCTAGGTTCTTTGGTTGAGAATATTTTTTAGATTTTTTGCATTTTCTTATGCAAATTGGTGTCAGTGTTAGGAAATTTGCATTTAAGTGTTGTGTTTATGTCAACAGTAACAGTGTCATGGGTCAAATTAGACTCAAGACGATTAGCTAATGTGTCAGTAAGTCCAAAGCACGACATAGTTTTTCTACATGTAACAGTATTAATATGGTTAATTCTGTAAACATAATTTTATTAATTCTAATCAATTTCACTAGCCACCATTTATAGAAGGTGACTGATATCTGTTAGTGACCATAGAAGGTGTCACGTGTCACCAAAGAAGGTGTTTTCAGCTATGGTGCATTGAGATCAGTCACCATAGAAGGCGTCAGCTTCTTTTGGGAGTCTGATATCTGTCTTGTCAAATGCATTGATTCAAATATACATGGCAGAAAAGATATAAGATAAAGACTTTGACCAACTTATTTAGTGTCATCTCTGAGTCAATTTGTTTGTCGCGTCCAATATTGCCAACCTATATTTACTAGGGAGATGAGGTTGAATGACCCCAGTTTTAGGTCAAGATGATTCTGTTTATTGTCATTTGATAAGGACGTATTATTTCTTGATTTCCTAACGTACAAGGAGTTTTTCTTTGAGTGGTGCATAACAGAAACGGTGTTTTGTGACTTGCAGGTAAACCATGGAAATTTGGTGAAGTTAGAAGGATTCAGTATAGACCCTGAAGATGCAAACTGCTACTTAGTGTATGAGTTCATTGAAAATGGTTCTCTCCACTCATGGCTACATGAGAACAAGAATGAAAAACTGAACTGGAAAAAAAGGTTGAGAATTGCAATTGATGTTGCAAATGGTCTGCAGTACATCCACGAGCATACACGTCCACAAGTTGTGCACAAAGACATCAAGAGCAGTAATATTCTCCTGGATTCCAATATGAGGGCCAAAGTTGCCAATTTTGGTCTAGCAAAATCAGGCTGCAATGCCATAACAATGCACATTGTTGGCACACAAGGGTACATTGCCCCAGAATACCTAGCAGACGGGGTGGTCTCAACAAAAATGGATGTTTTCTCCTTTGGCGTTGTTCTGCTCGAGCTTGTTTCTGGGAGGGAGGCGATTGATGAAGGCGGTAAGCTCTTGTCGGCAAGTGCAAAAGGAATTTTAGAGGGGGATGAGGAGAGGAAGGTGAAAAGATTGAGGGAATGGATGGATAAAGTTCTGCTCGAGGAGACATGCCCTATGGGGAGTGTGCTGAATGTAATGTCTGTTGCCATTGCTTGTTTGCATAGAGACCCTTCAAGGAGGCCTAGTATGGTGGATATCGTGTACGCATTGTGCAAGAGTGATGATGTCTATTTCGAAGCATCAGATGACGGATTATCAACGCCTACGGTGGTGGCAAGGTGAATGTACATCTAATCCCGAAGCTTGATTAAGGACATGTTGATGTAATATTTTTGTTTACAAAAAATTGTGGACTGCAAAACTTGATAGAAGAGCTATATCCTTATTCAATAATTCTTGTTTTACATGTTGGTGTGATTCAAATTACGAAATAAAGAAATCCCTTTTGTTAAATGTTATTTAGTTTAATAAGATTACAACACCATGCCACTAGCAGCTGAGTTATGAATTCATGGTTGTCTGGAAAGTGTATTTCTCATTAAGTCTTGCACAAAAAAAAAAAAGAGGATTGACAATTTGGAAATGCAAGGAAAGCTGTATTGCATGTGATGCTTCAACAGGTTCCGGAGCTGGAAAAAAGGAGGATTGACAAGTTTAGGCAATGTTTATGGCCACCATATCCTTTGTTAAGACGGACAAAAATTATTAAATTTTTATTTTAATTTAATCGTTAAATAAATAATAAATAATAAAATAATTAGTATTTATTATTTAATAAATTAAATTAAATTAAAAATAAATATTTT